GCAGGCGCCGCCCTGTGCCTATCTTTTTTTTAGCTGAGGATCTTTTATCTCCTCCTTCAAATATTGTCATATCCTTTAGCGGCCATCAGGGGGCACAGTGACTCAAACTTAAACGTGAAAACCCCAGTGGCGAGCAGAACACAGATGCTGCAGCCAGTGTGGTCCTGGGACCAACAGCAGGGGCATCACCCAGGAGCTTGTTAGAGATAAGAATCTCCAACCCCACGGGAGACATTGTAGTCAGAATTCGCATGTTAAGAAGATCCCCTGCATAAGTTTGAGAAACACAGTTGAAAGCGTTTCATCTTACAAAGGAAGCTGCCTCCTCAAGGGATGGGAGAGGAGTGGATGAGAAAGGAGCTGGCCAAGGCATCCCTCAATGCCCCCAAATGTCCTGTTCCTTAAAACAAGCAGTCAGCATCAATCAAGATGGAATTGAAGCCACAGGATGGGTTATAAAAGCATTTTGCACATCACAAATGAACTGGCTGCTTCTTCTTCCATTTCCATAAATGCTTACTGAGTCCTTCCTATGTGCGGGGCATCATGTACTATTTAATAATGAACAAGAAACAGACCCTGTCTCTGCTCTCGTGGAGCATTCAGCCTCGTGGGGTCACCAAGGGTGCATAATCCCACGAGCACACACAACTATAAACCTTGAGCTTATTCTGCAGATTCAGAGGGAAGACTGGGAAAGATTTAAGGGAGAGGCACGAGGACAGGGGTTGATATGAAATAGTCAGGGAAGTCCTCTCAGAGGAAGTGAGATCTGAAAGACGTGTGGGAGTTAGCCAGGAAAAGAGTAGAGTTCCCAGAGGAGGGAACAGAAGGCACATAGGTCACACGACAGGGGGGACATGGCGCAATCGAGGAACTCAGAGACTATGGAGTGATGCAAGATGTGGCCACAGGAAGGCAGCAGGGGGCAGCCTCAGGGGGGCCAGGCACGAAAGGACTCAGGCTCACCTCAGACCTGATAGAGGTGACCTCTCAGGGCCCAGAGTGACTTTCATGGTTCTGTTTCCCAGGGCCCCTGCTCCAAACAGCCCATGTGGACGTCTCGCCTCTCTCCATGGTGTTTCCGTTTCCCCCCCAGTCTGCTGTCCCCTCCATTAATCCTCTCTTCCCCTGTCACCACCGGCCCCTTCTCTAGTGCTCATCCTCTTCAGCATCTTCCCATTTACCATTTCAACCTGCTCCCAAGTTTTCCTGGAAACTGGACCTTGACCTCCAAGCTAACGTCTTCCCCCCAAAACAAGACAATCCAGAAATCAGAAACAACCACCATTTACTGAGTGTTCACCATGTGCTGGGCCGGCCACAACTTTACACAGTTCTTTTTTTCATCTGCTCCTCACAACAATCTTATTAGGTAGCTACTATCATTCCAGGTTCACAGGTGAGGAAATTGAACTGTAAAGCGGGTAATTTCCTCAACGTAGCTAGAAACTGGTTGAGCTGATACTACCTTCCTATTTGACAACAGGGCCTGCACACAGCACTGTTTGACAATGTACTGACTACACCGCTACATTTAGAGGACTTAAAAGTTCACTTTTAAGCCCACTTCCTAACAAAAAAGTAATGTTAGATGTGCAAAGGAATTTAGCCACAAATGTATTTGCAATGTGTCTGTAATAGCAAAAAATTAAGAAGCAACCCAAAGGCCTAACAATATAGGATTGGTTAAATTATGGAATGTTTATAACTAATGACTAACTATTAAAGTGATCATATAAGCCCAGTGAAGTGGCTCACACCTGTAATCTCAGCACTCTGGGAGGCCGAAGTGGGTGAATCACTTGAGTTCAAGAGTTGAGACCAGCCTGAACCAGAGCCAGACCCCTGTCTTCAAAAAATAGCCAGGTGTTATGGTGGGCACCTGTAGTCCAAGCTACTTGAGAGGCTGAGGCAAGAGGATCGCTTGAGCCCAGGAATTTGAGGTTGCTGTGAGCTACCCTGACACCACAGCACTCTAGCCTGGGTAAGAGAGTAAGACTCTGCCTCAAAAATAAATAAATAAATAGAGTATAAAACTAAAGTGTATTTTGGAAAGGTAGAATGAAACGTTTGACAGTGGTTATCTCTGGGATGGGGTTACAGCCAATTTTTATTTTCTTCTTTTTTACTACCTGCATTTTCCAAGATTTATACCAAGAGCATCTATTTATTTTGAGAATAGGGAACAGAGGGAAAAAAAAAGAATTATGAGGAGGTGTTTGAAACTTCCCATTTAATATGTTATCTATTTAAAAAAACAAACACACTGCTGTTCTGTTGAGAACATTTTAAAAATATTTTTCTCTTATGACAAAAGCAATATGTACTCACCAAAAACAAAAACAAAAAAAAAAATCAAAGAGTACAGACAAGCCAAAAGAAAACAATAAACACACATTCCCTCCCCCCCAGGGGCATCTGATATTAGCACCTTCATGGCTCTTGATACCTTATGTTCTTTTACAAGATAATTTCTTTGAGTTCTGCTCCGGGAGCTACTCATGAGGGTACTCATTAGGACCCACGCTGTCACCATCACTGGAAATACAAGTTTGGAGGAAGGCTTACAGAATCCTCTGTGATCCCCAAACAATTCCTAAGGTGGATTTGTCCAGGCCTCAGACTGTGTTTCGGACCCCCAAACAACAGCCAGTGGTAATTAATAGTGGTAGAGCCTCTGTCCCTGCCCTGGTTTAGACCACAAAACTCCTAGTGTGTCACAGGGGACAAGAACTGTCAAGTGTGAGGACCATAAATAATAGTGATTCCCAACATGTTCAAGACTGCAACACCCTGCCATTGTTTGATTTTACAACCCCCCTTTCTCCTTCAAAAGGAACTTGAAGGAGTACACACAGCATTTGCATATTCCATTTGGTACTTTTCCACACATGTAGTTGAAGGGAATTAAGATTAATTTGGCTTGGAGACTATCACAACTCTCCTTCCCTCTGGCCCCTTGGATAATTGCTGGCAATCAGTCTGGGATGTCCTCAGTCAAGGCTGGGAATGGCAGCTTTGAGGAGCTGTGTGGGCAGGTTCCACCGAGAGGGAGGCCACCCCAAGCCTGGGAGTCTACCTCCAGGAGCAGGATATTTCTGGGCCCATTCCCACACTCCCACCACCACCCCATGCACACAACACATTCATGCAACAACAGATTTCCAAGGCCCATCTAGGCCACACCCTTTCAACTCAAGTCCCCCCTCCTGGGAAGAAGAGCAGGAGGGCCCTTCAGCTCCTGGCATCCAGGAGGGCCACCCTCAGCACAGGCCTGGAACAGAAAATGTTCCTAGAGCTGATGTACAAGTCAGACCATTTCTGGCTTCTTCAGATATTGTGGTATTTACTTCTGGCCCAGAACCAGACCCACCTCCCCACCAAGCTCCAGAAATTGAGCTGGTTTCATTGCTATCCAATATGCTCAATCTTTCTTGAAACTCTGAAGATTTTGGAAACTATTCTCCTTTATATGTGGATCCTCGCAGACATAATAGTAACTATAGCTTCTGTTTTAAAAGTTTCTCATATGGGCCAGGCACTTTGCAAATATGCAATACTCATGGTAGTCTTTTGAGGCAGGCACAATTATCCTCATTTCACTGATAAGAAAACTGAGGCTTCAAGAAGTAAAGTAATTATGCAAGGTCACACAACTACTGACAGAAACAGGAGTCAACCTAGACCTGCCTGACCCCAAAGCTTACGCACTGCCCTGAGAGTGGGCACAGAAGGGAACCAAGAGATCATACCATCTTTTCCACCCCATTTAAGAGACAGCTAATTAGGCTGGAAATCACTTATAAGCCATCACATAATACCCACTGTACTGTTCTAACACTCTATAAATGCCAACTCAATCCACCTCATCACTAAGAGATGGGTACTTATTCTAACAACGTAGGAAACTAAGGTGCAGAAAAGCAAGTAAAACCTTTCCCAAGACCACACAGCAAGTGGTGGAATCTGGATGAAAGCTGATTAGAGCCTGTGCTCCCTCTCTCATCCCAGGAGCAGAGGCCTCCCCTCTCCTAACTCACTGTCCTTTGACCTTGCCACATGGCCACCACTCTCATCATTCTGAGAGTCCATTTCAAACTTCAAACTTCCTCATCCCGATCTGGGTGGTGTTGGTGTTCTCTTGTGAAATTGCTTTGTGAAACTACTTATTGTGCAAGGCCATATTTGATTAGATCACCATCTTGATTCCCCCAAAGAACTAAGTGTTCTAGAAGGTTTATTGAAGTTTCAAAGGCTTAGGGCTATTTTCATAGAAATTATTAATCTATTAATTAGCAAGGACCTTTTGAGAACAGTTTTTGTCCCTAGCTCTGTGCTGGGCACTATGGGGTCTGTGGACACATAAGGCACAGAAAACACAGACCCCCACCCTCAAAGAAACAACAGCAAAGAAGACAGCTTACCAAGCATACACTGTGTGCTGGGTCTGTGTACAGCCGGATTTCAAAAGATGTATAGGAGAGTCAGAAAAGCTGTTATGAAGGAGGCGGAATTTGAAATAGGATTTGAGAGAAGGAGCAGAGTTTGGATAGCAGGAAGGAAAAAGAGCAGTCTTAGCAAGAGAAACAACAGATGTGTTTTCTGCATCCAAATCGACCAGATCTTCAGAAATAAACCAAAGAGAGAAAAGGCTAGAATGGTTTGTGTGTTTTGGTTTGGGGTTTTTTTTTTTTTTTTTTTTTTTTTTTTTTTTTTTTTCTGCTAAGTTTTGCTATTTCCATCAGAGTGAACAAAGAAAAACTTCCCCTAGCCGGCACCACCATGACGATGCTTCTGGAATTGGAGGAGGACGTGCTGCCTCACATGTCCAGCAGGTGGCAGAGCTGCTGTTCTGCAGCTACGGCTCCAACAACAGTCAAGGAGGAGGAAGGTGAGGGAGCCCAGACACTTCCTCAAATCATCCTGGTGGCACCGCGGGAGGGCAGCTGGTGGGCACCCGTCTTCTTGGTATGAGCAGCCTTCCTATTCAGCCTATTGGTTGGGCAAGAAATAGAGTGCAAGAGGAAGTTGGGTGAGACTGAAAGAGGGAAAAGGGAGAAGCATTAAAGAGGCACTCCCCCTCAGCAGCCAGCCCCCGTATACCACGGAAAGGCCTTCCAAAACTGCAGGAAAAGGGTGTCTGTGGGCGCAGGCTACTAACGCCTTCTGCTGTAGTCCTGGCTGAGAAAGGATTCGTGAAAGCTTTGGGAAGCTTGGAAAAGTGAACAACTGCTTGTCTAAAGACTGATTGCGTGTTAAGCTCCTGTTCTCTGGACAGGGGTAAGCATTCTGGCCACAGTGGGGAGGAATGCTGGTGTCATTGGGGAGTACACACCTGTAGGCCAACTCCTCAGGCCTGCTGTCATGCTGCGGGCTGTGTAAGGCAACAGGCCTGTCAGTGGCATCCTTTCCAAGCCCTGAAGGCAATGTTTAGCTTAGCCTAAAGGTACACCCCCCCACCCTCAGCTGAACCAGGCAATAGGGTTCTGAAGCCACTGAGGCACAGGTTAGAAGTACCTGAGTGGAATATTTGAGGCCAGTAATCCTGACTTTTATCTGTTTCTAACTAGCTCTGCAAGTTGGGCTGGATGAACCAACTTCTCTGAGCCTTAGTTTCCCTATCTGTGAAATAAAGACATTAAATTAGATAATAATCTTCCGGCTTTGGAATTCTGAAAAAGCAAGAGGAATTGGGGAATCTGGGGAGCAGGAGTGGGGGTGGGAGGGTGATGACAGGCATCTTGAAGGGTTTACCCCCACACCACTCCCGACCTGGTCACTGCGGCACTGCCCGCCCCTCCCCCGCTTTCATGGCCCGGCGGTACACACCCACGGCTCCCTTAGAGACTTCTGGAATCTCGCTGGATTCCTCCCGGGAATGTTTATTGCCCTTTAGATCTGCAAATCGCTTTACATCAGCAACCCTGCTGCGCAATTATTAATCATTGCACTATATCCTCCGCCTGCAAGAGGAATTGCAGGAGTCCGGATTTATGAAGGTGAAATCGGAAGGTGACTATTATTATTCATACAATAATCAGTTAACCAAAGTTAATTAAGCGCCAAATATGAGCAAGGTGCAGAGTCACACAAATTCAATTACTGGAGGGGTCAGAACTGTAGGGGTCGTTTCTCAAAGAACTTCACTGACATTCCTGTTATGTCGTAGAGAGTGGGTAGTCAGAAGGTGAGGGAAGATCTCTCCTTAAAGGCCTGAAGTTAGTGCTGCAACCATTAGGACCACTCCCCACAGGTCATGCTACCAGGCCGGGAAAAGGGAAGTGGCCTTGCCAAGGTCACTTATTCCCCGAGGGGCAACACTGACCCTAGACCGTCAGTCTTCAAAGCTTTCCACTGTACCATGGCGAGAATTTTGAGTTCAAGCCTGTAAAATAAAATATCGAATTAGGTGAGGGAAGGCATGATTTCCGGGCACAGAGGGAGGAAATCGTGATCCGTGATTACCCACCCAGAACAGTCGAGAAAGCCCCAGGTCTTGACTGCAATCTCAGCTCACAGAGACACTGAATGTTAGCGACCTGAACTCATCTGTCAATCAATCACGCTAGGTCTCCGGGTGTCCAGCGCCCCCGACCACCGCCTGGGCTCGGGTCTACGGGAACGCGTTGGGGGACGCGAGGAAGCGACCCTCGCCAGCGTTCCACGGGGGCGTGGCGGGGGCGGGGCGCAGCGGGAGTCCCGCCCCGGCCTCCTCCCGACCCGCTGCGCCGCGGCTTCGCCAAATATGGGCAGAGCGGAAGCGCCGGCGGACGTCATAGCGTCGGGTGGGGGCTGCGCTGCGGGGCGGGTGACGGGAGGAGCTGACGGCGCCTACGTGTCACCGTGGAAACCAAACAGTAAATAGAGGACTCTAGAGCTCCTGGCACCGCCGGCCGCAGCGACCTGGCCTGGAGCAAAGGGCCGGAAGCGGGGAAGGGCCGGGAGAGCCCTTGGCCTGGCAGACGGAGGGCAGGGGCGCGGCGAGGGCGCGGAGAGGGCGGAGGAGGGGACACTGAGAAAGCGTTCCGCGGACATCCCTCTGGGAGGTCCCTGGGAAGCCAGCTCCCCCTGCGCCCAGGAGCCTGCAGGGGCTGCTTAGCAGTAGAAAGAGCCCTCCTGTCCCTTCTGAAGGCTGCCATGGCCTGCAAGATTGTTTGTTTACTGATTTTGCTTTGTTTTTCCTTTCTTAGTGGCTAAGAGTTCAGACTTTGGCGCCACGCTGCCTGGGCTCAAATTCCAGCTCTGCCACTCCAGTTGATGATCTTGAGCAGATCGCTGTCTTTTCACGCCTCAATTATACTATGAACTATAAAATAAAGATAATAGGAGTTACTATAGTTTTGAGGATTTTTAAATGAATATATATTTTAAACATATAATAAATATGTATTTTTCCCATTAAACAGAATAAATATGTATTTTATATATTTTTTATAATGTGTGTGTGTTTGAAACATTGTCTAGCACATGGCGAGCCCAAATTAGAACTAGCTGGGGGTTTTTTTATTCGTAGGCAGTATAAGAGAAGCCTACCTAGTATTAGTAGTGCAATTACTGGATCACACTACTGATATAATGTTTTCTCAATTCTTGCTTTGGTTCTAAAATAAACAACTTAAAAAGAATTTTTTATTTTAAAGATAATATTCAAACCTAGTAAAAATATTTTATTTATTAACCAAAATGTGCTTTTACCAAATAAAAACATGACAAGGTGTGGTGTAACCCTGCTCCACAGTTTAAAACACAAAACTCCGTATGGTTACGTAGTATAACAAAAGTTACTCAAGTTCAGTTTCTTTGTCTTCACGGTCACTATGTTGACTCTGTTTATTTCAAATCTGCTGTTAAACACTGTTGTATACTAGCATAGGAGTTGAATATGTGCACTACACCCAGAGATCTCAGATTATTCTGAAGCATTATAAACTTAATCCTCAAATGAAGCCAGGTAGCTGAGTCTGTATGTTAGGTGTTAACTCTTAGAATAACTGAAAGGTCACTTCCGTGTAGAATACAATGTTTATTAAAGAATAAGTAATTTTTAAAGTCAAGTTTATATATACATTATTCAAACTCAATAGCAATCCCAACAACTGCGTACAACTTAAAACAACCAAAGCATTTTTCAGGATCGAGTATTTTGTCACTGGCAGCATCTAAAATTGCCTGCTTGTGGTGTTCATAGGTTCTATTGTTACTTTTAAATTCTAAGCAGATAATGTAACTACTTGTAGGTCGCAGACCCTAGGGTGGTCCCCAACAATTTCTACTTTCTGACATCTTTGTATAATTCCCTCCCCTCACATGCAGGTAGAACTGAGACTTGCTTATGAGCAATAGAAAATGCAAAGGTGCGGTGAACTCACAAGCGTAATGTGCTACATGAGAGGCAAGTTTTTCGCTAGCAGCACAAGGGTCTCTGGCCCAATGAGCAGAGTTCCTTGCTACAAGTATAATGTTAATGCATAACAACACTGAGAACGTTGATGAAGACATTTGAAAATGGTCTGTTTTCTCCTGCCTTTCTTTGTATTTCTTGCTCCTTCAGGAATTACTTGGCTTTTCTGTTTTCAGAGTAACTTGATGAATCCTGCTATGCGATTATTAAAAGGGAGCTCACTCACTAGGTTTGATGTGGTGGATGCTGGCCAGGGAAGTTCTCCGCATGTGTGGCACCATCTCCCATGAACATCCGTGGGAGGTCATGTCTGACCTCTGCTTCTATAGAGATCCTGAAGAGATTGAAAAGGAAGAGCAGGCTGCTGCTGAGAAAGCTGTGACCAAGGAGGAATTTCAGGGTGAATGGACTGCTCTGGCTCCTGAGTCTACTGCTACTCAACCAGAGGTTGCAGACTGGTCAGAAGGCCTGCAGGTGCCCTCTGTGCCTATTCAGCAGGTCCCCACTGAAGACTGGAGTGCCCAGCCTGCCAATGAAGACTGGTCTGCAGCTCCCACTGCTCAGGCCAATGAATGGGTAGGAACAACCGCTGAGTGGTCTTAAGCTGTTCTCCCTGAAGCTCTTAAACAAGATGGAAATAAAGTTGGAGGAAAATAAACATCAGTTTTAAAAAAAAAAGATAACTCAAAAGTTATGGATGTCACTCCCATAATTATGTCACCAAATATGTGTGTGTGTGTGTGTGTGTGTGTGTGTATAAAACTTCTCTGGAAAGTATCCATTGTTAATACTGTTTTTCAGAGTACATGGCTAGATATTTGCTAGATAGCCCTAGTATATGAAATGTGTGTGTGTGTGTGTGTGTGTGTGTGTGTGTGTGTGTATAAATAGCTCCATCTTGCTAGCATGCACTGGAGATGTTCTCCTTGCTGACTTGATGAAGTGAGAAGCCATGTTAAAGAAGCTCTGAGACCTGGGAGAAGTCCCCAGTCAACATCCAGCCAGAGTCCTTAGTCACATGGCCAGCAGGGTAACAAAGTCTGCCAACAATCTGAGGGATCTTGGAAGTGGACTCTTCTGCATTCAAGCATCTGGCTGAGACCTAAGCTTTCCTGACATCTTGACTGTGGCCTTGAGGGATCTTAACAACAATACTGTTCGGTTCAAAAAATGAATGGAGTTTTCTAGATGAGCAACTGGCTGTGCCTGGGACTCCTGAGCTGCAGAAAGTGTAAAATAAGTAATGTATGTCATTTTAAATTTATTATACAGAAATAGAACAAATACACCCTCGTTGCCTGCAGATTGTCCCCAACTCCCCATGCTTGGTACATTTCTGGGGCCCTGCACACACTGCTCAGGGCTTCCACTCTAAAGAGGCTCCATTGTCAACTGCAGAGCATGCCCCATTGTTGCTACCAAAATATCGAGCATGTAAGAATGAGGCGGTGTGGGCTGCTTCAGTGCATCTCCCTAGCAGGCATCTGATGTCATTAAAGTTTTGAAGCTAGAAAAGGAGTTTTGAGATTTTTGAAACCCACCCCTGATTTAGCATAGAAAACAACCTCACAGTGGTTAGAGTCTTGCCCTAGGTCACCAAAGTGCATCTTTAGAGATAAATTTTAACATTCTAGCCCATGGTTAAGCACTTTGGGCATTAGAGTCACAAAAAAGTAGGTTCACTCCCAGATCTCGCTACTTACCATTTGTATGACCTTGGTCAACTTATTTAACCTTTCCTAGATTATTTTACTCATCTGTAAAACAGGAATATTAGTCATTTCTGCCTCATAGGATTATTGTGAAGACTAAATGAGAGCATCCATTTGACAAAATAATTATTCTCTGCCCATTACACTCCAGTTGCTAGAAGTACAATGTTAGCAAAGCAAATATGTTTTTTGATCTGGCATTGCCT